CTTTAAAATTATAGCTAAACAGTAGGTTCATAATAGTAAAAAAGTGGAAATAACCTAAATATTCATCAACTGATGAAGAGATTAAATAAAATATGATATATCCAAACAATGAAATATTATCCAGTAGTAAAAGGAAATGAAATACTGATGCAAAATGCAGCATAGATAAGCCTTGAAAATATTATCCTAAGTGAAAGAAGCCAGTCACCAAGGACCACATATTATATGATTCCATGTATATGAAATGTCCAGAGTAGGCAAATCTATTGAGACAGAAACAGACAGAAGATACATTAGTGGTTACCGATGGCTGGGAGGAATAGAAGGGTTAGAGAGTGGCAGCTATGGGGTATGCAGTTTCTTTTGGGGGCAATGAGAATGTTCGAAAATTGATTACAATAATGGTTGAAAAACTCGGAATATAGTGAAAGCCATTGAATTGTACATGTTAAATGGATGCATTGTATAGTATATTAATTATCTCTCAGTAAGGTCATCAAAAAAGTGTAGCTAAATATATGTATTCTCTCTGGATAAGATTAGGGAATTTTCTCTAAAAACTTATTTTGCCTTTTCTATGTCCATATTTTCATAACTACTTCATAAATAGCTAACACAATTGCTAGAAAGCACCCTGGCTTGCAGAGTATATTTTCCCTATCCTACAAAACCGATTTTAGCTTTTTCTATAGCTTGTTTTAAGTATATTCCAAGTAACGAGCTTTAGATTGATTGAATGATGATTTTTCTGTACAGGGAATTAAACTCAAAGACCACCTTGAAATTTGTGCATTCATCTTTTCATGGGGTTGGACATGACTACGTGCAGTTGGCTTTTCAAGTGTTTGGTTTTAAGCCTCCAATTCCAGTACCAGAACAAAAAGATCCTGACCCAGACTTTTCTACTGTTAAGTGCCCGAATCCTGAAGAGGGAGAATCTGTGCTGGTATCTTTCTTTTATTTTTAAATTATTATTAGTGTATTAAACTTTATCAAATAGATAGAACTCATTGATAGTTCAAAGATTCAAAAAAGCAGAAACCACTTTAGTTTACATCTTTTAAATTATATAGGAGCCATAGGTTCTGTTTTGTTTGAAATCTCTATGGTAGATATTCCTACTTCCAGGCTTATTTGAAATTTAGCTGAACTGTTTTCCTTCTAAAATTCACATGACTGGCATAGTGCCTACATTTGGGAATATTAACATTGAATTGAATGTCCTCAATGCAATCCAGCCTTTTGGGTCACTGTTGCAGGAACTCTCTTTGAGGCTGGCAGAGAAGGAAAACGCCCGGGTAGTGGTTGCCACAGACCCCGACGCAGACCGACTGGCGGTGGCAGAGCTTCAGGAGAAGTCAGTAGACCTGCTATTTGATTAAAAGCTTAAATTTTGATGAACTTTTTTTTAAGTTGAATAGGCTTGTTGGAAATAATTTTAAAAATAAGAAAATACATCCCCTGTAAGCCCACGATCCAGAAATAAACACTAGGTTGATATTTTAACACTTTCTTTCTACGTTTTTTTGTACTCAAATATTTAAGATATATTTGTTTTTGCAAAATTGTGACCATACTACACAGGTTGGTGATTTGTAGGTCTTGGGGGTCAAGATGCTTTAATGAGAAGTTATAAAGTTCCTGACTTGAGTTTTTATTCTCCCTGCAGTGGTCACTGGAAAGTTTTCTCAGGAAATGAGTTGGCAGCCCTGTTTGGGTGGTGGATGTTTGATTGCTGGGAGAAAAGTAAATCCGGAAATGCTGATGTGAAGAACATTTACATGTTAGCCACCACAGTCTCTTCCAAAATTTTGAAGGCAATTGCACTTAAAGAAGGATTTCATTTTGAAGTAAGAATAGATAATACCTGTGTGCCACTTTTCTAACCCTATTTCTATAAATTAAAGCCATCTCCTCATCAAAACTGACTTTTATCAATTTCATTTATGATTCCCACTTTTTTTCTAATTTTGTTAACATTTAGTCTTTTTGATAGCTTAGACACTTGTGCCAAATTCATCCAGTGTGTGAATTTCTGAAACTAAGATTAGGTGTTCTTTAGAAATTGCATTAGTGCTTATTATTCCATACAATAATATCTGGTTTCCATACTAGGAAGATCTGGTTCCTGGCTTCATCAATAACAGAAAATCTGTTCCAAAAAACTGTGGGTGTCTGGGACCACTTGTGTAGGCTCTTCAAGTTCAATCTTAAGAAACTTTAAGTAGTCTTCTAAATTGCAAATTAAGACCCAGAGATTCTACATCCAAAAAAAATGATGCCCCTCTCTCAGCACAGACCACTAGCCTTTGTGAGCCTCAGGCAGCTGACTAAGCTGACTGCCACTGGGACTAATGTCAATGAGGTTGCTTTTCCTCTGCCATCTTTGCCAAGTATTAGTGAAAATGTCACCTCTGGGCATTTTTCTTGAGCCACAGTCAAGCTACGGGTCTTAACATTAATTGGCTGAGTAAAAGAAAATTGTATTTGTCTTAATAAAACAGAGCTTTCAACCTCAGACTTTCTAAAATACAAATAGAAAAAAATGAAATTTTATTTAAGCTTAAGATTCTGAATTACAAGTAATGATAACATTTTTATCATTTATATTTATGGCAAGAAAAATGTATAATGAGTACAAAAGAGAAAAAAGAAATTATTCTAAAGACCAATATTATAAATTTACTTCCTTGTTGTTGTTGTTGGGAATAGGGGTGGCAGATGATTTTGGCTTTTACGTTATGTTATGTTGTTATGTTATGTTGTTATGTTATGTTTATGTTATGTTATGTAATGTAGTGAGTGAGGAGGTAGAGAGGTGAATTAGGAATCTTAAGTTGGTAATGCTGAGCTCTAGAGTCCGTGTGTATCAGATGCCCTTTCTGTTGACTCTAAAGCAGTTCATGTCTACGAAGGGAACAATAGCTAATCAGATGAAAAGTCCTCAAATCTAATTACCAAAGCAAGACTTGGTGTTATGGTAAAGAACACTTGGTTCGGGCATGTGTTGTGATAATATTGGAAGTGCATCATTAAAAAGCTTTATGGCCTTTGATTACTCAAGGGGAATAAATCGCAACCTTCGTAAGTGCTCTTATCCTAGTGCTTTTAATACAGCTTACAGGACAGTTTCTGAGAAGCAGTGCAGTTGAATCCTGCCTCCATCTCTTAAGTGCAGCATAATCTTGGGCAAATTTACTGGACTTCTGAGCCTGTTTCAGCAGCAGGGTTTTTGTGAGCGTTAAAAAGATAGTGATGTAAAGCACTTGTTACACTGTGTTGTAAATAGTAGGTGGTCATAACATGTTCCTTTGTGACTATATGCATCACCACTTGTATATATTGGATTATATTTGGTGTAAACCACCTATTACTGTACTTGATAAATAGTAGGTCATCAGTTGTGGCGGTGCATGTGTCCGTGCACTTTATGACTACGTGTTCACCACTATGTAAATCTTTATGGGCCAAAAGCCGTAACAGGCGATCACTGTGAGAGTGTCATGTCGTGCATATAGTGACCTGCTTTTCTCTAATATGTGTTATGAGAGAGTCACTTAACAAGAGTGGCCTCCTCTGCATTTCAGGAAACATTACCAGGTTTTAAATGGATTGGAAGTAGGATAAAAGACCTCCTGGAAAATGGGAAAGAAGTCCTTTTTGCATTTGAAGAGTCTATTGGTATGTAGTAAATATTAAAACCTTTGAAATTTGAATGAGGGCATTTTTTTTTTTTAATGTAGTGATTCTATAGAGAGGAATTTTTGTCTTCTGGTTTTGTATTCTGAGCTGTGGTAAAAACCAAAGAGCATTCAGAAATGTGTAGGTACATTTCTCATCAGAAAAAGAAAAAAGACCCTTAAAGGTCCCCTAAATACCTTCAGTGTCAGTGTGCTTCATTTATTACTAGGATTTAAATTCGTTGGCCCTGCTGAAGCAATGTAAAACTAAAGAACTTATTACAGGCTTATGTTTTCCTCTTTTTTAAAGATTCTTTTTGATTCGCAGGTTTTCTGTGTGGAACTTCAGTTTTGGACAAAGACGGGGTGAGCGCAGCTGCTGTTGTTGCTGAGATGGCAGCTTACCTGGAAACCACGAATGTAACATTGAAACAGCAGCTGGTTAAGGTTTATGAAAAGTAAGTCCTGCTATTATGAATTTCACATGCTAAGTTTTTCTTTGTCCTACGTTCAGCTAAACTTGTTTTCGAGAAATAGTCGATCCTTTTTTAAAAGTACTAAAATTGTCCGAGTTAAGGACTGCCACTTTCTACATAATACTATCATCTTGGATATACACTTTTCTAAAGAGTTATCTGAAAGCTGATTTTAACACTTTAAATCTTTGTGTGCAGGTATGGTTATCACATTTCAAAAACTTCATATTTCTTGTGTTACGATCCAAATACCATCAAAAGTATATTTGAAAGACTTCGTAATTTTGATTCTCCAAAAGAATATCCAAAATTTTGTGGGACATTTGCTATATTGCATACACGAGACGTTACCACTGGATATGACAGCAGCCAGCCTAATAAGAAATCAGTAAGTACCTTTAAAAAACACACACACACAACAAAAAACAGTTTTTAACAGTTTTTAACTTCATACTAGGGTAAAATAGAGGAAGTTCAAGCCAATTCGTTTCCTGAAACTAGGATCCATTGCTTTGCCCCAGAGATGTTGTAAGTCCACTAACTGGCTCTCTGACTCTGATCCTGTCTTATCACTCCCCAAGTGTGTGCTACCCTCTGGGCCTGGAGAGGTGAGAACAAAAATGAGAAAGGCAAAGAGAAAAGGAAGAAGGGAGGGAGAATGTGTGATGATGCTAAATAATGTTGAAAATGAAGTCCAAAAAGCCTATAATTTCAAAGCTACCCATCTTTCTAGTTGTAATCTCCCTTTTTCAACTTTATTCCCTATACCTCTAGCCAAATAGAACAATGTATAGTTTCTTGCATATATACTTAAAAAAATTTATCTATTTTTGCTCAAGCTATGTTTTCAGTCTACCTCTTTTTTCTACTATTGCAGGTTTACACCTTAGCCATATGCAAGACTTAAGGCAAATGTCACCTCTTCCACAGTCCCCTCCAAGTCCCATAAGCAAATAGCTTTCTCCTGAGGTTTCATTACATATTCATTCCTCTTGTCATTCATCACTTCCTGTTTTATGTTATCCATGTTGTACATGTCAGGTCCATTTCTGAGGTATCTTTATGCCTCTCAATGTCCTGCCTACATGGTAGGTGCTCAACACATATTTGCTGATCATATTTAGTGATTGTTGTTGTTATTAGCCTAAATTTTCATTTATAATGTTCTGATGTTGACTCAAGATTCTAGGGGCATGATATATTTGGGGAAACCGGTAGCCTCTTGTGGAGAATACTACCCCTATTCTCTTTGTGTATATACACCCAGTCAACAAATATCGGTCCCCAGTCATTGGTATTGTGTGCATGTGCCAGTATGTGTGTATCTATTTTTGTGTCTTTGTAAACTACTTAACCAATTTCTTTTGCTTCTTTTTATTTTTCTATTGTTGCTATGCTTATCGTAGTTCTTGTGTTTTGCTTTTTTCCTCCAACTCCCTTTAAAGCAGCGGTTGCCAACCGGTGGTCCGTGGACCACTGGTAGTCCATGAGGTCCAAAAGGTTGGTGACTGCTGCTTTAAAGTGTATATTTGTTAATCAAAGGGCTTTTCTATCTGTTTCTCACTGATGCTTAGTAGTATAGATATGGTTAATCCCCTAAGTTCGAATCAAAGACTTCCTGAGTTCGTTCGTTCTCCACAAACTCAGATAGACATTCATCCACATGTTCCGCAGGCATTTATCAGAACACTTCTGTGCTGCAGGCACAGGCATGCTTGGTATACAGCAGTGACAAAGGCACTGTTTCTGCACTCAGAGTCCAGTGGGGAAACGAACAAGTAAACAGCGATTACTTTACAGAATGATAAGTGCTACCAGGGGGTGCGAAGGGAGCCATGGAAAAGCATAGGAAGGGCCCTTACTCAGAAATGGGGGCGCTTGTGGAAGACTTTCTGGAGGATTTCGTTGAGGCGTGTTCTAGAGAAGGAGCTTTCCAAACATAGGAGGAACAGAGGGTGTTTCAGGCAAAGGGAGCAGCAAGTGCTACGTCTGAAGGTGAAAAGACATCTTCTCCTTTAAAGAACCACAAGTGCCCTGGCCGATTTGGCTCAGTGGATAGAGCGTTGGCCTGCGGACTGAAGGGTCCCGGGTTCAATTCTGGTTAAGGGCACGTGCCTGGGTTGCAGGCTCAATCCCCAGTTGGGGGCGTGCAGGAGGCGGCCGATCAGTGATTCTCTCTCATCATTGATGTTTCTATCTCTCTCTCCCTCTCCCTTCCTCTCTGAAATCAATAAAGATATATAAAAGAAAAAACAATAAAAAATATAAAGAACCACAAGTAACCTTAGCTGGGTGGTTTAGTTGGTTGCAGCATCATCCCATACACCAAACGGTTTAAATTTTTTAAAAAACAAACAAAAAAAACAACCACAACCACAAGTAGCTCTCTATAGTGTGGTGAGTGGGTTGAGAGGGGCAAACGTCCAGGCATGAGGATCCATTAGTACTGTTTCCGTGAGAGAGAATGGGAGCCAGAACTTTACAGTAGCCGCAGTGATGGAGGGAAGTGGACCAAGTTGAGTAAAATAAAGGATAGAATAGACAGGACTTGTGAGTTGATGTTCTGTGAGTGAAAAAGCAGGGAGGAAGGTCTCTGCCTTAGGAACTAGTGTATGGCAGTAGCACTGACCCAGAGAGGGATCTCAAGGAGAGGACCGAGCTCGGGACCCCCGAGGGAGGGCCCCACTGCCAACCCCCCGCCCCCCCCCAGTCCTAGGGCAGCCCCCACAGCTCCTTTGAGATGCCTTCACAGACCAATCTGTGGCCTAGGAAGAGTAACAGTGTTAATCCATATATTTACTGTCAGTAAAGCTTTGGTTCTTTTTGTGCTTTTAATTTTGAGGTAAAAAAAATTAATTTTTGAACCCCAGTGAATTATTTTGCCTGTCCCCCAGGATAGGTGCACTCTGCCCTGGCAAATTAGTAAACTGTGAAAGTACTTTAAAATTATAAAGCACTTGGCAAATGTAGAGGCTGTTTGGACTTGGATACAGATAGACCTGGCTTCAACTTTTTGCTCTGCCACTTAGAGGATGACCTTGAGCAGGTCCTTTACGCTGAGTCTTGCCCGTAAATTGGCAGTAGTATTTACTTTGCGGGATTATTGTTGGGGTCCAGAGACCATGTATGTAAGGAAAGGTATATAATCCAATGACTATATCATAAATGTTCAGTAAATGGTATATTTGTAAATTATGTATGTAGTACTTTTTGTATTTTATAATTCTCTTTTAACATTTTTTATTTTTAATTGTGGTAAACAGTTAAAACATAAATTTTACCAACTTAACCATTGTTAAGCATACAGTTCAGCACTGTTAACTACTTTTACATTGTTGTATAGATCTCCAGAACTTTTTCATCTTGCTAAACTGAAACAAGTGCAATTAAGCTGTTGTTACAATTGTGCATAGGTGTTGCCTGTGAGTAAAAACAGCCAGATGATTACATTTACTTTTCAAAATGGTTGTGTTGCTACTCTTCGGACAAGTGGGACAGAACCAAAGATCAAGTATTATGCAGAGATGTGCGCGTCACCTGACCGGAGGTGAGAGTTGACTTTTTAAATATATACGAAAAAGTTTTATTGAGATATAATTCACATATCAAAGAGTTCGCCCACTAAAGTATATAACTCAGTAGTTTTAGTGTATTCAGAGTTGTGCAGACATCACTACAATCAATTTTAGGCCATTTTCATCACCTCAAAAGGAAACCCCATACCATTAGCAGTGACTTCCCATTCCCCTCTCTCCCAGCCCTAGGCAGCCACCAATCTGCTCTCTCCCATCATAGATTTGCTGCTTATTCTGAACATTTTATAGACATGGAATTATACAATATGTGGTTCTTTGTGACTGGCATCCTTTAGCATAATGGTTTTAGTTTTGGGTGTTGTTGTTTTTTAATTTCAGAGAGGAAGGGAGAGGGAGATAGAGATAGAAACATCAATGATGAGAAAGAATCATTGACCGGCTGCCTCCTGCACGCCCCACACTGGGGATTGAGCCCTCAAACCTAGCTTGTGCCCTGACCGGAAATCGAACCATGACCTCCTGGTTCGTAGGTCAATGCTCAACCACTGAGCCACATCGGTCGGGCAGCATAATGGTTTTTTTAGGTTATATGTCAATATGGTGGGTTTTTTTGGTTTGTTTTTTTAGTATAATGTTTTTAAGGCTCATCCATATTGTAGCATGAATCAGTACTTTTTTAAAAAAAATGTTTTCATGGTTCAATCATATTTTGTTGTATGGATCACATTTTTTATCCATTTATCAGGTGATGGGTGTTTGGACTGTTATGAATAATGATGCTACAAATGCTTGCATACAGGTTTTTATGTGAACATAGGTTTTCATTTCTCTTGGGTATGTATCTAGGGGTAGAATTGCTGGATCATATGGTAATTCTATATTTAACCTTTTGAGACTCTTCTAGACAATTTTCCAAAGCAGCAATACCATTTGGGAATTGAATTTTTAAATTTTGGTGAATTTATATTCCTAGAGAGGCTCTCTGAGCTTTAATAGTAAATATAAAGAAATGATCAACAAATAATTTGTTTATTGCCAAATATTCATTTGTTGCATCTAATATGATTTGATCTGCCCAATTTATTTCAATAGTATATGAATAAATAACTTTAATAAACATATTCAAGGCTATTTAAACTTATTAAAAGTAGTAACTTCTATAGTGTTGGCATTGATCAATATATTTTGGGGAAGATTTTTTTGGAATTGATTCCAAGGTATATTATTTAGTATTTCCCTAAACCTTTGTGTTTCCTTTGGTGGTGGGGGTGGGAGGGGGTGGTGGAGAGAGCAGAGTTTAAAGTAAACCAAATTGGGTAATGCTACATTTGTATAAAAATGAAGGTTATCCCTGCCGGTGAGGCTCAGTGAGTGGTTGATTGTCGACCTATGAACCAGGAGGTCACGGTTCGATTCCTGATCAGGGCACATACCCTGGTTATAGGCTCAATCCCCAGTGTGGGGCATGCAGGAGGCAGCTGATCAATGGTTCTCTCTCATCGTTGATGTTTCTGTTTCCCTCTCCCTTCTCTCTGAAATCAATAAAAATATATTTTTAAAAAAGGTTTATAAAAATGATGGATGATTATTAAAGTAACAAAAACTGGTTTGTTGAGTAGCGAGTAAAATAACTGAAGGCAGTTTACAAGAGGCTTTTCTGGAAATGTTTTGGGCAACAGTAGCTCTTCCAGTGATGACTTTGAAGGATGTACTTGTAAGTGTCCATTTATTTTTCAAACATCTCATTCTTGTATTGATACTTCCTTCTGGTGCCTGAAAGACAATGCCGTATCATCCCATAGTATTTGTACTGGTTATTCTTCAAAGTGTTTCAGGAAGCCATTTCTCTTAATACCCAGTCTTGGTATTCTAAGCCATTAAATTGCCTCGCCCAGGAGAAATCTTTAGGTGTGCTATAACTCATCCATGTATCATGTTCCAAGGGTCTCCTCTTAATGCAGGTCAACCTCAGTTTGTGATATTTCTTGTGTGTTAAACCCTTTATCTTGTTTTAGTTTAAATGAGTAAATTTCTCTGTTGTTTACCTATTGTTTAATTATTCCATCAGGCATATGCCTTCTTAAAATGTTATAACAATTAAAATTTTAAGGCTATGAAATTCAAGAAATTCAGAACTCTTCATTTTTTTCCTCAGTGACACTGCCTTACTAGAAGAGGAATTGAAGAAACTCATTGAAGCTTTGATAAAGAATTTTCTTGAGCCCAGTAAAAACGGGCTGATCTGGCGTTCTGTTTAGCGGACATTGTATAAAAATTACTTTGCGCTGTCATGTGGAACAGGGCGGCCAAGAACTTCATGCATCCAACTTGTGTTAGCATTCCCTCTCTATCTCATCCGGCCGAGTATCCTTTTCCTTTTATTTTTCTCTTTTTGGTTGGCTGACTAAACAAACTATATAACTTTGATATGAAGTAGTCTGGAGAAAATGATTCAAATTTTTCATAATCTTGAACAAAAGTCATGACGTTAAAAGTAACGTCATTCTTCCTTTAACAGAAACAAAACTGTGCAAAAGTGAGTGTTCTTATTAAAGTGTGATTAAGTAAGCTTAGTTCCCTATTCTTGTAATTGTGTATAGCATGTGTTTTTATTTTTAAAAAATAGGCAGATAAATTATAATTATCGAGTTAGTTAAGAAATTTATTTCACAAAATTGGCAAGAAAACAGCACTACTCTCAATACTGTGGAAAAGTGTCATTGTTACATCATAGGTATTGACTTACAAATTAGAGTACGTGAGATAGGGTATTTAGCATTTCTAGCTTAGAACAGATGTGACAGATGTGGTGTCCAGCTCTTCTGTTTCAGTGCTGCTGGTGCAGTGTAAATTTATCGTATGTGTTTAAAATTCCACGTTTACTGAACATAGACAATAGTGGCAATATTCCTAGAAACTTGGTTCTTGTCAAATTTCTCAGTGCCTTCTCAGGGTATGGTTTGAATTGAAACAGTGTTCCTGCATTGAATATAATTTAATTCATTAATTTTCAGACAGTTCAGGAAAAACTTTCAAACTGTATAGGTGCATTCCCTCTATATTAAGTAGGTTTGCTGACTTTAAGATCTTATGAATGTATATAAAATTATTAATAAAAGCAGGCTCAATGTAACTGTAGTTAAGCATCTTCATGTTAGAATTAAATGTTAGTTACCACAGCCTTTGAGTCAAGAAAAAGATCTGAACTGAGAAAAGAGCTCAATTTATTTAAAAGTCTAACGTTTGGATTACAAATATATAAATAGATTTATTCCTTTATCAAATGAAGTAATACCAATTTTATTAGGAAATAAAACATTCAGATTTTAGGTATTATGAAACACTGAAACTACATGTTTTCAAACTAATGTCCAGTTTATCCTAACATCTTTCTGGCTTCTATACAATTTCTTATCACAAGAGTAACTATTTTCTGATGTGGAAAAAAAAATTGGGAGGTCACTGGCTGATTTTGCAGCCTTCTAAAGAGACAGCGGAGAAGCTCTGTTCAATCCTTTTTAAAAGTGTATCCTGCTATAGATAGCTCACAGAATACTTAAACACATGTGGCATAGTTAAGAGGTAACAATAACAAGGTCTTGGGTGTAATCTTCTCAACAAATTGCTTATGGAAGATAACTGGTATTAGAGAATTTATTTCCTAAAAATAATGACATAAATTTGAACTGATTAGAATACTTATTAAGTCACGGTTTGGTTTGTTGTAGCTATTGGCTAACATTTGGTTGAACTTATATAATCCAAGTGTAATTTTCAAATTATTGTATTGCCACTATTGTTAATTTATTCCTTCCTTCCTTTCGTATAGCTGGATCTTGTATGACTGTAGATAATAGACAGATAGCTAAATGTAGAGCACCATATTTCTAAATGAGTTTGTCTTCAATGGCTTCGTACTAAAGAAGTGTGTAGAATTTTTTGCTTTATGCACTTTTAGGAATGTAGATATTAATTTAGGAAATGGCCTATATTCTACAAAGTGGTATGAGCAATGCTATATATGGAAAATATGTATATTTGGTTTCAGTGTCTGTTTTTTATTGAATGAAGAACAAAGTGGAGCTAAAATGATACAATAGCCCATTTACAATCTCTAAAGCCATGTTATGATTGTCATTCTATCGTAAAGAGAACAGCTTTATTTGAGTGCTTTTATGTAATGCAACATTTCAGTCATCTTAATCAAAATGAAAAGTTATTAAAGCTTGGATTCTTATCTCAAAATTTAAAAATCCAAAGTTAAAATTAATAAAAATTTGCAAGTGTTCCCAAAGTGTATAAATTGAGGAAATTATTTGATTCTAGCCAAATTCTCAAGTCTTACTTGAGTGTGATATTTAGCATGAACTGGACGTAGTGGGTGTACACTTGCCTAACAGGATAAATTCGGTAGCCCCAGCAAACCAGGTCAGACCGAAGTGCTGACCAGCAGGTCTCAACTTTGGTCTCTCTATTGTTTATCTTTTCCTTTATAAACAATCTCATGGAAATGAATGCATCCTCACTGAGTGTGCAGATCAAAACTGGGATTTTCTAGAACTCTGGGGAAAGGAAAGAATAAGTGGGGCAAGATTAAACCATAAATTGGGAATAAACAGTAGAAATAAGCAAACAATAGAAAGGTCAATAGGTAGCACAGGAAATGCTTTTTGTCAAGGGCAAAATTATCACCCTAAAAACAGGGAGTAAATGGACTGTAGGCAAGTTGTTTAATTGTGTTTATTTGTTGTGACGATGAATGAATAGTGAACCTTTGTTTTCTTTTATTGGTGACCACTAAAGAGGCCATGTTTTAAGGCCTGAGAAAAAGAACCCCTCTTACTGGTCAGTTTCTGAGAGAAGGCTGTTTCTTAGGAACATATGGGAACTGGGGCGGGGATATAGCAGAAATGAAAAGGAATATAATATAGATTGGAAAATAAGACCTCTGAGGAAAAAGTTTTTTTAAAAAAGATCATTTAATTCTGGAGAGGAGAAAGCTGTTGAGATAGTTTAATAAATCATAAGTTATTGAGTCTTTTATTGAACAACTTAAATTAAGAAGGAATATAACAAACTGTTCTCCATCTCTAGGAAGGATAAAATAGGAGGGAATAAAGGTCTTTAAGAAAAAAGGAAAAAAAAGACAGCATGAATAGTTTACGATTTAAAAAATTGGGCAGGAATTGTTATGAAGCCTTCAATTTGACTTTGATTTTTAAGAGAATAAAAATTTAAATATTATAGGATATGCTAAATGGCTTTTACAGGTTCTTTCTAAACCTTTTTTTTTTTTTACCTCAGGTTGGAACAAAGATGTCTAAAAGAGCACTGAAAGTAACATTTGAATTTCACTCCATATCGATAAGAATTTAGCTCATAAGATAAATTTGTTGAGTAGTAGATGCATGAGTACAGTGAATAAGACCTACTTAGATGTTATTTTTAATTTAATCTGGCAAATTCAGTGACTTGACCACAATTTTGTTCATCTTGAAGAATGTATAACATTATAGAGTATTTGAGGGGTTTGTTTTAAGTTTACAGTATTGTTATTTGGATGTAGTAACTTAAGCAAAGAGTTTCTAAGAGATTGGACACTTTGGAATATCTCTATCTAGGAAATAGAACTTCTGTTTCTTAAGCAGAGTGCTTCTAGAATTGATGCAACAAAGATATTGAGTTTAATGGAGGAATTGTTCTATGAGCTGCTGCTATTGGTATTTCCTTCAGATCTTTCCTGTTGTTTATGATTCTGCTTGGATAAACTTAATTTTATCTTTTTTTTTCTCTACCTCCCTCTTTCCTCCCACATTTTGTTACTGTGAAATGCTACTGCCCTGTTACCTCACTGATAAGAAATCTTTAACTGTATCTTTCAGAATGCTTTAAACTTATTCATAAACTAAGTTGGTTTATGGACTTTTGAGTATTTTGTTATTGTGAGAAGACATTGTAAGAAGTAACTTTAAATCTATTTCATAACTTTTTGTGGTCTACCTGGATACTGTATGTTAAATTATTAATGGCTTTTTACAATTCACTTGTTTTCTGAGATTGCTCTAGAAACTGATGAGGAAAGAGTCATACTAACCAAAATGAATGGTCAATTAATCTAGTATATTATTTTCAGTTTCCTTGTATTTTGGGTATCCAAAGCACGAGACTTAAGGAAATTTTTAAATATTTGTGTCTCAAAGCCTCTTACCAGAAGCCATAAGGAGTCTAAGTAAAAGAAGAAAATCTGTCATTGTCTCAGGACACAGCATGACTTGAGTTCTAGTTGGAAACAGTTAGTGTTGACCATTGGTTAAGATATTCATCATCCTGTTATATTCATTAAGCCAGCTTTTCTCTTTATTCATTAAAGACTATGTACTTAGAAGAGAGAACATAAAGAATGAGTAAAGCGACCAAGGGCACAGTGACCTAGCTAAAGTTTGCTTCTCAGATTTCTCCATCAGCACGACCCTAAAGCAGAATGTGTAGG